GAAAATGTCAAATTTTAATTCTCAAGGAATATTTTAAACTGAATTACAATAAAAAAAAAACAAAATTAAAAATAATAAAACCATTATTTCCGTAAACTTTGTACATTTTTTCCCCGTTTTGTTCAACTAGATCCAAAATGAGAAAAAAAAAAAAAAACGTTCTCTTCTCATTTTTTGATTGAAACACGATTTCTGGTAGAAAAACGGATCACAGACAAAAAAAAAATACACAAAATAATAAAACTAATAGATCCCTCGTCACGCTCAGATTTTAAAAAAAATCACATTTGCATCATAGTAAAATCAATACTTTCCTTGCTATGCTCAGAATCAAGTACATACACAGAGTGTGCTTTTTATTTATTAACGATTTTTTCGCACTCCTATTAAACCTGTGATGCATTTATATATGTACTAAATATTATATTCGACGACATATGTTGTATCGAAGTGGTCTGTCAGTTTACTCTAGGTACTATATCAATGACACGCGCGAGTTTAGGGATGACCAGAGAGGGGTGTTGGTGTCAACGGAGAAAAAACTCTCCCTTACTGACCTATATAAATAGCAACGTGATAATATAGTTTCAAAAGAAAATCAAAAAGCTAATATTGTTCATAGGTTTACCCTTGTAAACTTAGCAGCGCTAAATTAGCGGACATCGATCCAATCAATCTAACAAATTTGTTAGTGGATTGTTGGACATTATTGGACAACTTTCAGAATTTGTTGGAAATTAATTTCACGAAGGTGAGAATTTGAACTTCCGTGTATCCAATAAGTAATAAATGCATTTGTGCGCTGTAACTTTTTATTCTTTTATACGAGTACGTTGCTGCATATGTTTTTTATACAGGTGCAATATTTGTACTTTGCTGCAGAATAGTATAATATTTTTCAAATGAGTGCTACAGTTATAATTAACTCTGATATGTAATATTTTACGCAAGATGACCATTGAAAACTTGAAAAATCTTAAAACAATAAATTCGAATTTTGAATATTTTTTTAAATAAACATTAATGTAGTGCCAATTTATGAAACGTATTTTATATATTTTAAAGTTAATAAGCGGGTATATAATACTTATCATTGATTATAAAAAAAAAAAACATTTTGTCAATGGTTTTATGTACTAACGACGAATAACGATTTCGAATCGGCGATGGCTGTCAGAGCCCGATCGTTATTTAATGGGCAATGGTAGACTGGTCAGTGTTTAAATAATATGAATTTATGATAATTGTACAAGTAAAATAGCCAATGAAAATTTATTGATTTCAAAAAATAATTCCTATTTGTGGTATCAAGTTTTTACGATATCTACAAAAATAATTCAATAATTGAGTAATAGGCCGCGTATCCCAAATAAATTATTCAACGATATGTAAATTTATTTTTATTATAAGTGATTAATATTATATTATATGGATGTGTCCAAAATGTTTTATTTCATTTCTTATCATCATGTTACTTTTACCATTTATCGTTATCCTCACAATCTCACGACTAAAATTAACGTGTGTGCTATTGCAGTATATTGATATAAATATATGATATAATATTTATTTATGAAAATCGGTACGTAAGTACTTTATCAACATATTAATACAAAGAAGTAGTATGTTACGCTTAAAGTAAATGCCTTATTTTCTAATTATGTTATTATTTATTTATTTATTTTACACAATTGTCAACTCAGAGATTTCGCTCCTCTTATCATTCACATTCTTAAAAAATAGACAGTCAATTGCATTTTATTACCTTAATTATTTTAATTGTAATTTAAGAGGTCTATACAATATTTTCAAAATTAAAACACATATACGTAGATCCCTAATATATGGTTTTTAGTGTGCTTTAGAGACAATAAATTAGAGGCTATCGTATATAACCTTTCGTCTATATTTCTTGGACGAGTATTTATACTTCGGTTATTTCGAATATCTGTTTCAGGATTTCAGGTCACTTGTAAAAATCTTTTATAAAATAAACGTTTTAAAATTACCCTTTGGCAAAAACAATTGGAGAATACTCGATAACATCAGCATAACCGTCAAATCAAAAAGAAAGAATAAAAAAAAACAACAACACACAAACACCTAACCTGAACTTAGTGGATACACGAAAGTTCAAATTCTCATCCTCGTGAAAATAATGTTCAACAAATTCTGAAAATTTGATAAGTTATTTGATAAGGTGAAATGGGCACGATTATGAAAATAAAAAGTTTTTGACAGTGGTGGATTTACGGGGGGTTCAGGTGGTCTGGACCCACCCCAGACACTGGTATAATTTAAATAAATGTCATCCGAAAAAGAGGAATATTTAATAGAGATACCTTTTAAATACATATTACGATTTTAGATCCCTCTCAGAAAAATGTTGAAAATCCGCTACTGGCTGTAAACTCATTGTCCATTGCAATGTACATTATGACTGAAGAATGAATTAAAATGGTTTCTCGGCATTTTCGATTATTTTTACTAACTTGTTCAAGCAATATTATATTTTGTTGTTTCATTTATTTATATTACATATTATCTTCAGTTAGGTAAATTTATTTTATTTTATTTAAAATATTTATTTTGTCATATCATAAATTTGTACTAACTTGTTCTAGTATTATTATTATTGTTATTACTTTTTATTTACTTATTACTTATATTATTATTTAAATTTTTTTATTATAAATACTAATGGATATATATATATACGAGGGCTAATCAAAAAGTATCAAGACTGGTAGTATCATTCGGAAAAGGAGCATCGAAGAGCAGTAGGATTGGTATCACTTGCTTCTATGACTTTTTCTGAGTACATTTGTTTTTATTGCTTCTCTATAAAATTCTTCGGTTTGATTTCACTGATATTTTTGTAAAATATATTTTTCGAGTTTGGTGGTTTTGTAATAAACCCAAAAGAAGAGTAACTTGACAGATTTGGAGATTTTAGAAAATTTGTCTGCATTTTTTCCCAGTTTCAGAGGGATGCAACATTTCATGGTTTTCGCCACTAAATGTCAATTGAAAAACTGAAAATGTGTCCTCGAGTTCCGCTTCTTTTGGATTCATTACGAAATCGCCAAACGTGAAAAACAAATTTTAGAAAAATATCGTCAAATCAAAACGAAGAAGTTTATAGAGATTTTATACGAATAGATGTGCTCAGTATAAGTCATAGAAGCTAGGTTTACAAATCGTTTTGCTCTTCAACGTTCGGTTTCCGAGTAATATTATCAGTCTCGATACTTTTTGATTAGCCCTCGTGTATATATATAAATATATATATATATGTGTGTATGTTATTTTATAATATTAATTAATAATAACTTGTAATAACTAATAATATATAAAAAATGTTTGTTTAAAAAATATATTGAGATAAAGTGTTAATAAGTTTTATTTACGCAGCTACTTAGTTTCGGCTTACGCCATCATCAGATTGCTGATAAACAATGTTATATAATGGTTTACATAAAACAATTTAAAAAAGGAACAATAAATACATAAATTATTTATACATATAATTAAATAAAAGTGTCAACAAATCGGAAATATAAAATTGTAATAATATTTTGCTGTTTTATTTATATTGTTCAGTTATATTTTATTTTTAAATAGATTTTTGTTGTATAAAATACTTTCACCGAGTCATAATGTCATGACAAGGGACAAGATCCTCATTTTGGTGAAATTGGGAAAAAGTGGTCTAAACATTTTTTTTTTTTGATGACCTTACAACAACCTGAAGGTGCAATTTTTTCAGTAAACATATTTTTTCTTCATTTCATAATTTGGGATTGCAAGTGTTAAGTACCATACTAACCATTAGCAGTGGCTATAGTGCGTCATGGTTAGGTTAATACGTCAACAAATAATAATGTATTAGTAGCGGCTAATGCGTCATGGTTGGGTGAATACGTCAATAAAATAACACTTCATTAATACATACATACATACATACATTTAATTTCAATTAAACCTAATAACATACATAAAACACGAGATTTTTGATAATAGTATCTTAAATACATATAATCTTGACCCTTGAACGTTTAAATATAAATTATTAGGTCTCAAGAGTAATATTGTTATCGTCATATTCTGATTTGCGATCATTCCGTTGGTTGAGTGCCACTATGTGGTCATTTCGTGTTTTTGTCATACTCTTGTTATCTTTTCATTCCCATGTCCTTAAGAATTTATGATACGTTAACAATCTTGCAGGTGTTCTTCTTCAAATTCTACTTTCTACGTAATTATCTGTAACAATCAACTTCAACAAACTATCATAGCGTAGTGGTAATATTATTATGTCTTCTATTTTTTTGTAATATGTCAAAGTCAAAGTTCCCCTTAATTATTCTTCTTCAGAAAAACATCTTCATTCAATAATCAATCTTCTACGAAATATCGAGCATCTTATTGCAATACTGCATTTTAAATGCTTCTAGATTTTTTTTCTGGATTCTGCTCACTATCCAGGTTTTACACCGTTTAAATTCCGCACTTCATATATTAAAATAATTTCTCCTATAATCTTAATAATATAAAAAACGGACAAATAATTCACACGATGGGTTGGCCGCTGTTGTAGGTGAGAAGTTGGGTAAGATATAGATGGGAATTTCATAATGTATTTCTGTACGCAATGATTAACCATTGTTAACGAAAAACGATTCTGAGCAAAGTTTGGTTGTACATGTTTTTAAAGGCCGTAATATATACGATTTTCGTCAAAAATAGATATTAAAATTCTTGTGAAAAATTTTGACTTAACATTCAATTTTCTTTTTACCACAAAGTATGACTATTATAGGATCTCCTGTTAAATTTTCAAGCATTTCTGTTTAATCTAAAAATGTTATCCACAGATTACTCAATGAAAAAAATTACTTACAAAACTTGTAAAATTAAAACTTTCATAAATAGATCAACAATTCCTCAAATGTTTTGAAAATTTGATTACGTCTTTTCTTCTTCTTCTGTTGACATGGCTACTCTCTAAGAGTTTTTGTCGCCATTACTACACTTCGCAACCTATCTCTATCTTGAACTGTCTTCTTCCAATTCTCAACTCCAAGGGTTTTCAGATCTCCTTCCACCACATCAATCCATCTTTTCTTAGGTCTTCTCCTAGGTTTTTCCCTTTCGGCTTCCACATTGATGCTGCTCTAACTGTTTCGTTCTCACCTCTTCTCATTATATGCCCCAATTATTGCAGCCTTTGGCCCTTAATAAAGCTTGTTACTGGTGATAAACCCAACATATCATATAGCTCTCTATTATACCTCCTCCGCATGTTCCCCGTTGTTTCATCGATGATGGGCCACATATTTTCCTCCATACTATGTTCTCGAGTGTCCTCAGGTTTCTCTCTATTTCGTTGTCGTCCAAGCTTCGCAGCCATACACGAGAGTCGGTCTTATAATAGCCACATAACAGTCTTAATTTCGTTCTCCTAGACAACATTTTGAATGTTAGGAACTTTTTCAGTGCGTAGAAAACTTTTTGGGCTTTGTTTATCCGAATACTTATTTCCTTGTACCAATCAATCTTTGTGCTTAACGTTGCTCCCAGATATTTAAAATCGTTAACTTTTTCGTAGGTTAAGTCATCCATCTCGTTGGAGTCCTCCCCACTCTCAATAAGTTCCATTATCTTTATCTTCTCGGTATTTATTTCAAGACCTATTCTCTTCGCTGCTTCTTCTAGCACTCTGGCCACGTTAGCTGTGTCTGCAATCGAGTCACCTATAATATCCAAATCATCAGCATTCCCGTGGAGCTATATCTTGTTCTGACCAATTAGTAAACCACATTCATTTTCTTCTAGTATCCTTACTACCTTTTCTAGTGCAAGATAGAAAAGTTCTGGGAACAAGGCGTCCCCCTACTTCAGCCCGGTTACCACTGTGAAAGTTTCTGATGTTACATTTTGTGTTCTCACTCTGTATTTCATGTTTTTTATACACATTTTAGTTAGTAATTTAGTAATTTTAGTTAGTTATTAATTGTTTTGGGAAACTCAACTCGTACATGATATTATAAAATTTATTTTAGAAAAGGTACTACACATGAAATTTGCAGTAATAAAGTTGACTAAATCAAAAAAAAATTAAATTAAATTAATATTACCGTAAATATGTCCAGTTTTTCCATAAGTTTTTTTCTTACTTACTTTTAAAACTAAATGGAAAAATCAAAAAATGTTCCTCCTTAATGTACCAAGTAAATTTGAGGTGTTACATAAAAGGCTATTTTAAATTGGATTAAAATTTCTATTAGAAAAGTTACTTACTAAGAAACAGAATAAATAATTCGCACATATTAAAACCAATACATTTCGCTCGGAATCTTAAGAATAACGAAAACAAATAAACCTTTATTATATTTTTATATTCATTAGATGATATAGTCACTATTTTAAATAATATCCGGGCAAGGTAGTTGATGGCTAAATCCTTTTTGTTATTTTCCGTTTAATGTCATGGCAGTGACGTAATTATGACAGAGAGGGATTTTGACGTCACATCAACGTGTGGGGAGAGGAAAAGACCTTTTTTTTTTAAATATATAAGTATATACCTAGGTATTATGTATTTTATAAAAATAACATAATGAATAATGGTTACAAAAAAAAAAATTCTCGTTGACTGATTCTATATACGGAAAAAGAAAAATAACTTTAACGTGTATATTTATGTTGGTATATTAGGTCGATTGTCGAATGAATGATTAGGTTTAAATGACTGTATATTTTATAAAACATTTAGAATAACTTTATATGATTCTATAAAATATGATATCATTAAATTTCAATGTTTAAAAAAAAAAAGTTGTTTAAACTAAAAATCAATACAAAATCAAATATATAATATGTACATAAAAAAATAGCTACTACTTAGGATTCGTGTGTCTAGTGCCGGCGTTAGGTTTTACGGGACCCTGAACAATGCTTTAGTATAACTAATGATTGCATAGTTAGGTTTATGTAATATAATAGTATATTTATATGTATAATTTATATAATATAATAATATAAGTATATTTATATTAATATGTATATTTAATAGTTAATAATACACCGCGGGCCCATTAAAACCAGAACAAGCGCGGGGCCCTGGATAAATGTCCCATTTGTCTCCCCTAGCGCCGGCACTGAGTGTGCTACTGTTATAAAATGGAAAGTTGGGAATATGGGATACAAAAAAATTATTTAGTTTATATCTGTGCGCAATAATAAATGACTGGTAAAGAAAAACGATTCTGAACGAAGTTCCGTTGTTCGTGTTTCAAAATTCCGTTATTTTTACGATTTTCTTCGAAAATTGATCTTGAAACAATTTCTATCCGACTGACATTAGTAAAATGGAATTTGGACTCAAAAACCATACCAAAAATTGTTATATCGTTTGTCCAGATTTTTAATCATACAATTTCTGTTTGTGTATCGACCAGATACTTCACAAAAGCCATTTGAAAACTGTAGGTGCTTGCATGAAGACATGCAAAAATAAATTTTATAGGATTTGGGCGGGTGTACAAATAAACATTTTTTAATTAAAAATTGGTACAAACGATATAATAATCGTTGGTATGGTTTTGAATCAATATTCTCGATAGAAAACTGGAAAAATTACGAAATGTATTATTTTCAATTTTGTTTTTTTTTGTTATAATTCAGTTAGAAAGATTTGTAGAAATTTGAAATTTGGAAAGAAAATTTTCCTTTTCAAAACATTTGAGTTATTTATAGATATTTTTAATTTTATGAGTGTTTTACGTGATTTTTATTCAATAGGTACTCTATGGATAAAATTGTTTGACCAAACAGAAATGCTTAAAAAATTTAACAGGAGATTCATTATAAGTCATACTTAATAATAAACAAAAAAATTTGAGTTTATTATAGCATTTTTTTTTTTTTTATAAAAATTTTTTAATGACGAAAATCGTAAATATTGTGGCTTTTTAAAACCTTGGCTTTTTCGTTTTTCGATGCCAAAGGTTAATCGTTTCCTACAGATATACATTAAATTCCCCTCTATATACTACTCCCCATCTTCTTACCTATAATAGTGGCCCACCCATCGTGCGAAGTATGGCAGTTTTTTTTTTATATTTATATTTGTTTTATTTTAAATATAAAATATTTGATGCTTTTATGAATCTGTACATTAAATATCGAATTACATTTTAATAGTTTACCTATTTCAAGACATTTTATTTATTGCAGCGCTAGTTATTGGTATTGCGTACAGTGGAGTTCTCAACTCTGAAACGTAACCTTGGTAACACTAATATATTTACGATCAATAAAGTTAAACAGTTATTAAATCCTCATGAGTATATATTTGGAGCCAAACAATATTATTTTATCTTCGAAAATAAATAAATTTATTATTATGTTGTTTGTATAATTATAATTAATTTTGATTCGCGTTGAAATGTCTGAACAACGAAATCAAGATTTGTCTACAGTGCAGGATGAGACCGACGAAGACTTTATGACGAGGATTACTCAGCCTAGATTATGGACGATTTTCAAATTCGATTTCGTTTTTCAATTATTTACAGACGAACGAATAGACGAAGTTTTAGATATGTTTAAAGTAATTGAATTATTTTATTTAATATGATGGTTAATCGCATTTTATCTCTAATAATATAATAGGAACCGACTTTGATGCGAACAAACGCAGTTGACCTATTTTATATTATGCGCTTTAAAGCTAAAGAACGACTTTTTAGTTTATAATTAAAAATCATGTAACACATTTCTGAGAAAAACAACTTTTTTTACTATTCCGGCTATTTATATTATTGAAAATACAAATATAAAAGAATAATGCACTAATTATAGGTTATATTATTTTATTTAAACGAAGCAAAACGAGTTCAATATTATCCAATATTGTTCATACATACAATGTTCAATATTTTTGTAATTCATTTTAATTTTTTACTTTCACTTTTACTATAATATTAGGTTATAAATACCCTCACAAAAAAAATTACATTAGCAAACAAAATATTAACGGAAATTCCCATTAACACGTTGTAAGGATTTTAATTTTTGTAATACTATGGGATGTTTTTAAAACCACGGGTTCTTTTATTATAATAATATATAGGTAGTGTTCTAAATTATTTTAACATTAAAATATTAAATTTTCTTGCGTGCAGTTAAGTGCCTTAAGTTATGATACTTATATGCAACAGAAAATATTGTTTTGACCTTTCCGTAACCGTACAGACGAAAATATTGCATAGGTCGTGGTCAACATATTATTATAATGGCCTCATAATTTTACACGAGTTTTAGCTGTCACCGTCGGTGTGCTTCAATTTCCTCGGCTGTTATTGAATTACTTAGATTAAATGCCGCTTTTTAAATTATATTTAATTGAAAATAACCCAAGAAGAATATCGTGTATTTAGAACACAGATACCTATAGTTTAAAAAAAAAAAAAACAAATATTAAAAAAAAACTGTCCTAAGATAATGGGGACGGTTGCAGCCGCTGTTATAGATAATTTAATGTTGATGTATATGTAAGCAATAATTAACCATTGCTAATGAAAAAACGATTCAGTGTTGCTTTGTCAACAATACATATATATCATATTATGGTAAAATAATTACACATGCTCTATATTTTCTTTGGTAATGTTTGATTAATATCGTACCTAATTTCCCGTTTTCCTATGTTTTTTCCAATTATTAGGAAAACTCTTAGGGAAATCAAGAAATGATCTTTAAAAATAAAGACGAACAAATTATTAGAAAATAAACATCACTGTGCATTCATCGCTCCGCTCAGAATCTAAAACTAGATAAGTGTAAAAAAATGCACTCATACAAAATGTAATAGCACACTGGATCCGTGCATTCAGTTCAGTTCAGTTCATTCATGTCCAGTTAAATCGCTAAAAACCATGCGCAAATATTGTCAAGTCGGTAGCGGTGGTGATATTCCATTTTCAAGGGAGTGAGGGGAATTTCAAATCCACGGGGAGTCACGGGATTCCGTCCCTCCTAGTATCTTTGTTGGAAATTTATTACGAAAATTACCGAGCACGCTCCTGTTCAAATCTTCCTCCATTTCAACAGTTTCATACAGTCTGTATATTAAAGGTATTTCATACTTAAAATATTTATTTGGATAGACACCAAAATATACCAATGGAACTATAACAATAAATTCAGGTCAATAGGGCAATAATATAAATAAAAAGTTACGTAAACCCCAAGTGACCCCCTCCCCTACCGCCGTGTATTCGCCATTGTGCCGAACACCCGCTGCATCCGTTCTGTCAGTTTTCCAACCTTCCGTCTGCTCAGTCCGTAACGCACCTCGGGTAATAAAAATATGCGGACGTCAAAATATAATATGTATTTCGGTGACTAGAGGGATGGGACTGTCTAAGTGCCGTCTAAGTCGAAATATTGACTGATCCGTCACATTTGGAATACGACTCGACTGCACTGTACAGGTCCAGTGCGCTCGCTCCTTTTGTTGTTTCGTGCATTTCCATGGTTTATTTGTTTAGTTAATTAAATTAACTAATTTCAATAATAATAATAATAATAATTGAATAATATAAAAACAAAAAATCCCAAGCTTGTGGCTTGGGCTCTTGTTTTAATTTTCTCTCGTCGATTTAATGCGATTTTAAATTTTAAATATTTTATCGACGATAATACTATACCGTATTCCATTCAGAATTAAAATGATTACTCAACGTTCGATTTCGAATTTGAAAATAATATTTTGATTACATTATAAATGGCACACACATATTCTATATGTTATGTTTAACGTTTTGTTGCGGCGTCATTTCGTGGGGATTAAATGTTCCGAAATTCAGTATATATATATACAGTACTATTATCATTTATTAAAAAAATATAATCATTATTTGTTTTCAATATATGTGTCCACAACAGCTCGATTAATTATTTATAGTTCGATTATTTACAGGATTTAGATAAGTATCTATACAATACTAGTTGCTTTTGTTTTTTGAGCAGCTTATTTCATCAGTCTGACAATAGTAATAGATAATACAATATTGCCAAAAACAAATAATTACTTATAGAACTGAATATTAAAACAGATTACGATATACTTTACAATATTAACCTATATTTGACTAACGTAGAAAAAAAAAAAACTTAACTTTTTGTGTTTGTATAGAATAATTACATTTACGAAGAATCTTTATGCGTCAATAACAAACTATCGTCGGATCAAGACTCAATTAATCAATTTATATATCTGATCAGACATTGGATCGCAGATACTTTGTCATCAATTGTGATAGAAAAGAGTTCCGGAAAATGTATTGGAATAATAGTGTGTAGATTTTGCTCGATTGAAGATAACTCATTGGAATTTAGCAGATTGAGAGTAATTCAAATTATGAATAATTTAATAATTTTACAAATTGAACTTATTCACTGTACTAATTATAATATTTTAACGAGTTCGTATAACATGAACGTGCATACGGGATAGCTTTCAGTTATTCTTATGCTAATAAATCTGTCGATATCCATTTTTTTTTTTATCAGGTTTTGTGCGAGGGGTATACATATGTACAGAGAAATTATATTTTAATTTGAATACAAATATTTTAATCTTTTCTAAAAGAAAAAAAATCACTGAAAGATACCCTGTGTATTATATTATATTACTCAAATATTTAAATGTATTTAATTTATATTTATTGGATTCAATATATGTTTGCATAGATAATTAACGAATTTAATTTCAATATCTCAATAATGCAATTTAGTTATAATATATCTATTTCGTATAATACTCGCAAGTACTGGGGTAATGTAATGGAATGGAGAAAGATAATAATAATATGTTCACAATAATGTAAATTCTCTAGAAAAACGTGGATGTATTATAATATTGAATTTATTATTAAAGACGTCTGGTATTTGGAATTTATATCGATAAAAATCTAAACATATATATTTAAATAGTTGTTTAATACAAGTACCCATAACCAGTGCTCGAATCGGGAAAAAAAACGAGAGACCGTAAAAGAATATTGAAAGACTTAAAAATAAATTAATGTTCCTCGCTATTATTGAACTCAACGTAACACATGGGGACTTTGCCCCAATACCCCCCCCCCTTGTATCAGTTTTGAATCATAATTCGGTGATTAATAATAATTTACACTATTGAAGGTTAATGTTTTGCTTTCGTATGCATTTATTTTATATTTTGTATCTAATAAGTACTATGATAGATTTACTATGCAGTGTGTTTCTTTTTATTATGATTGCCAGTAGAAAATAGGTAGTTATTGTCTAGCCGGTGCAATGAGGAGGTAATTTTTTTTATTCTCCTTGTTGTTTTCTGAATAATGGTAAAAACCGTCAAGAAAACTGTATCAGTTTCTGTTATATTAAATTTTCTTTTATAGTTGTAATTCGATAAATAATAATTGTAAAAGCCGAAAATTTCCTCCAACAATTATATATAGCTGTTTTGAGACATGATATAATTTCCAAAACATACTGGCGACTCCTCAGTTATTTGTAGAAATTTTAAATTTTCTGGTTATTTTGGTTTGTATTTGGCATTATGTGATTGTCTTGGTCATGCAAAATTTTAACACAAAGCTTATTATAAAATGAGTTTCAATTATAAGTTTCAATAAACAAATTTGAGCGTTATGAAGTCATTTTTTTTATAAGCGTTAATGTTCAAGTTTTAACGAAAACGCATTTTGATAAAAATGCAAAAATATATATCGTCCCGTGCGTTTCACAAAAAAAATTAGAGGTACGCTAATATTTCTGAAAAATTAGTAGTGGTACGGAGTCCACTCCAATTCGAGCACTGACTATAAATATGAAATATACCTACGGATTTTTATATACCTCTGATGTTAAAATTCAATTTTTAAAATATTTTTTTTCCCGATCGAGTTTGATATTAGGAAGATACGCATGCAGAGAAAAATTTAAATTTCATTTTCATCCCGAAATCGCTAAAAAAAAAAAAAAAAATTTAACACGTTTCGGAATTTCCAAAATAACCGTTTCGCAAAGGATATTATTTCAAAAATGTCAATGTACTGTGTACATTCTTGTCCGTATGCCGTTTGTATTTGTAGTACAGCCATATTGATTTCAAACACAGTAAATAATTTGTGGTTAGCTGGTGGCTACTGTATTTCGCGAATGCGTGGTAAATGCATCTTATTGTAAAAATGGTTATCGCGCGCAGTAGACAGTTTTATTAATTTTATCATACGATTGCGATTCCATATCGCGGAACGCGGTACAGTCCGTGCAATTTGTTCACGTCCCCTCTCCAGAAACTAAAACGGTCGTATTACTCGGAAACCATTCGTCGGACGTTCATATTGTGTGTATGCTGGATCCAAACGTTAAGAATAGAATATTTATTACAAATCGCGGGCTATTTTGAAAATTCCGAAACGCGAACAAATAAATAGACGTTTTTTGCTATTTGACTTAGCGGTGAAAGAAAAATGCGATTTTTCTCTAAATTATGGCTCCTGAGTGGGAGCGTATCACCTCTATGCCCCCTCCAGAGAAAATACTATTGAAAAAAAAATTTGAATATTAACTTAGATATACAAATTCATAGAGCCCGGTGAGACGCCCCGTTCATTGTTACAGGTTTAAATAATTTTTATATAGACAAATTAACATAATTGAGCGGGTATCTGAAAATAATTTTAAAGTTAGTTTAAATTATTTTTTAAACGTACGCGTCATAATATTATGCATTTAAGTACATAGGTATTTATATGAAAATTACGTTTTAAAAACATGAAATTATTGCAAAGTATGACATTCCAGAAATAGTTTGATATCGTTAAATATTCGCCTTTCTCCTGAGTCGTCTTTATTGTAATATTGTCGAGAAATATTTTAGTTGTACGAGGGAGAAAAATGGAATATCATACAGAATTTCAAAAACCATTTAAGCCAGAAAGTTGACATTTATAAACATTATGAAACCGCAGCATTTCTCAGGGTTTATGCATGGTTTATTCTACCTGAGTTCAGAGGTCAAGGTAATTCATAATTTCAACTTTTTGTTCACCAAACCGTAATTATTGATCATTTATACGAATGACGGCTTGGCTGAATTCTTTAGCTTTTAACGACAAAAAAAAAACCAATAAAATCAAAATGTATTTCATACTTATCGAAATGATAATAATAATAATTATTTTTTGTTTAACCTTTACAGGACTAGGTAAAAAATTATTGGATTGTGTAATCAACAAACAACTACCCGAGATGTTACATTTCGGCTGTAATGTAATATCCGGAATATTTACTAATAAGAAAAGTCAAGAAATAGCGAAATCGCTCGGAATGAACATGTTGTATGAAGCGAATTACGTCGATTGGGCTAATCAAAACAACGTTACTTTGCCTGAAAATATGTTGGATGAAAATACGACGGCTACTGTAATGGCGTTTCGAGTAAATCAGAAATAATGTTAGTGTATCCATGATAAAAAAATAAATGAGTAGCCGGGAGAGGAAGGGCAATAGTCCGATTTTTATATTTTGATGCAATGATGGGTCACTCAAAGGGGGTTCAGAACAAATCTTGAGTTCCATTCGGTGAAAAAAGGTTTCAGTTGAATAATATATGTTGTAGATTAAATAGGTATTGAACGTATTAGTTAAAACAGAATGTAATTAGGTACTGTAGAGACGTTTTGGTCTGTTGAACAATTTTCAAGAAAATCGACTATTGCCATTCTTCCCTTGTGCCCTTCAAATGCACATAATATTAATTCAGCCTTTGATCATTCTTTCTAGGGGAAATTCTTGTCACGGACGTATTTGTTACTGTCTGTGACATTATTTTGTGTGTGTAATTTATTATATTTTGAAATGCGACTTTCGTGACTATCTACGCGTCTGAATAAATACAGTTTTACTACTACAATATTATTTTGTTAAATAAATTTGTATACTAAAAATTAACGGTTATTAAAGAAAAAGCAATTTAAAAAAAAACATTTTTTTTTCGTTTATGATTTATTATTGTTAATTGTTTTTTTTTTTTTTTGTATTGTGTTCATTTTAATGATTAAATACCACGTTTTCATATTTATTACAAAATGTAAAGGACAATTGAACGATCGAAAAGCAATGGAATGAAAGGTTCCAAATAGTATCAATAACAAAACCATTTGTTTTTTGACATTCTATAAGTGAGCATCATCTATATTATACTATTTTAATAACACACGAATAATGAATGTAATATAATATTTTTTGAAATTATATTATATAAACTAAAAATAATTTAATATCATTTTAACCTTAAACTGTATACTACGAACGTGCCTAATGAAATTGCATTGTGATTTTCGAAGTGGTACTTCATAAAATGTTTAATACGCTATATTTTTGATTTGTAATCTCATTGATTTAATCCCACGTACTTATACAAAAAAAACCGATTATATAATATTTGTATGTTTTACAAACTACAACTTAGAACACACTTACTATGAAAAAAAACCATGTATTACGCAATTATTGATTTGAAATATTATAAACCGACGTCATAGGTTTAACGAAATAGATAATATTTGTGATACTTACGTGTGTGTATCTGAGTACTTCGTCATTAAAAATATTACGGCTATAAAATCGTATCATTGTTTTGCGCTGCACGGCGAAAGAATCATATTCACCAGAACGATAGTCTAATTAATGGCATAGTATTTGATTGGGTATATGATAGAAATATTGAACAAAGCAAATGTGATAAATTGTTTTTTTTTTTTTTTTTATCGATATTTGTTCATAATTAAACGACGAATTGAAATCAATAAAAAGATGTCTGATAGATTTTCGCAATTGAAAAATAAACCATTGTTAATTGGACAATTTACAGTGTCACAAGTATTACTGTTATCTACTAGACAGATAGATACAGTGGCAGACTGGACACAGATTGGCCTACGGAGATTGAAAAATCAAGTGGCTCATTATTTTTAAATAACCTAATAAATTCAAATGCGTATGAATTAAATTTGTTAGCTACTTATTGATGCAACATTACAAAGTTCAAAGGAAAACTTATATCTGTGACAGAAAACAATATAACATACGTACCTATCTACACCTACCTTTAACTGTCTTCACAAATGTTATATAATCTATATTATTTGATTTTAAAAATAGTGGTGATTGGTGAGGAAGAGCTATTAGTTTTGAAATTAGAGGTTGTAAAAAAAAAATACCCTAAATATTAGTCGAAAACAATATTCACGTTGAATGTTACTTCTAAGTGTTATGTCTAACTGAAAATTATAAAATGGTCATATTTTAATCTAGTTATCGATACAATATATTATTTAGTACCTATATGTAATGTAATATTAACAATATTAATATTCTATTTTCAAACATTTTGATTTTAAGCTTAACAATTAAATTCGTACAGTATTACAGTTCCAAGTAAAACAGTATATTAAGTATTGAAAAAAACGATGAACAAAATTGAATTATATAATTATGTTTCATTTGTAAATTCATTTAGGTAGTGCAGCTTATTATTTAATGAACTTTATGCAATGTCGGGCTTTCTGTTCTTTTAATCAATTTAGTAAAAAAAAAAAAAAAACAAAACAAAATACAAAAAAACCATACGAATTTTACGAATAAAAATACTACAACGACAATATTATACTCGTAGTTAATTCTATGAAATGTATGATTCGATGAATTTGTTTTTGTTACTAAAACATAAAGACAATAGCGCTGAGAAACGTCCGTAACTTATTTTTTTTTTTTTTCGAAAATTAATAAATCAATTTTATAAATTTCAAATTACAAAAGTCGTACGGAGATTTATTGATTTCAATTTATCATTTTATTACGGTCAAATCATAAAAAAAAACAAATTAAAATGCTGTTAATATGCACTTACTGTTGTGTATATTGTACACCCGATCCAAATACTGTACCTGAATTATTAAACTGTCGTCCTAATAAATTTGATCGTGCAATACAACAAGGATAAAATTGTATAGTTATATTATAATAGTTTCGCCTTAACGATGTATCTCAGAAACGCACGGTGAGAGGGTAAGGGTTATGGAGTAAATCGTTAAAATTTATGAGAATTACTTATATAAACACTAAATATTTAGATTTTTTTTATATATTTTTTTTATGGATAGAAGAAGAGGCAAGTTAAACGATTTCTTTTTTTTTTTTTTTTTTTTTTTTTTTTTTGCAAAATTGAGCAAAATTTATCAAAGCCGTTTATTCTATACCATTGATAAAACAAATGTTAAGTGTTATGAGAGGATGTTTTTTTTATGAGTTAAGTAACATATAAAAAATGTACAATATAATAGTGCAAAATCTAAAAGGTTATATTTTTACACTCCAAATAATATGATATGATGATGAGCTCACAAAGGGGGGGGGCAATAATTGAATATTGATATTTTTCAAACAATATCATATATTTTTAAAAATATAAACGGTAAAAAATATAAAATTGGTAAAGAAAATTAACAATTACATTGTATTTCAACAAATGGATCGTCCTGAGATTGACGATATATACACAACTCAACCACATAAACTCAACCAAGTAACTACCAAGATATTGATGAGCGATTCTCCTATGTTTTTTTTGTCATTAAGCTGATCCCACAGCTTTTCAATATTCTAAATGTATGTACCTGTTTTATGACCTATGGAATTGTAAGTATGGTTAATTGTTAAGTGATTGAAACCAGTATATTCCAATTCATCTGTTTTATAACTACGTCAACTATCAAAATAGTTGTGCCTATTTAATGTTATTTTTGAAATTAAAAAGTATATTTAAATTTAATTAAATAAAAACATTATTTGATAACAAATAGTGTAATTCTAGACAAGGTCGTGCAAGGTCCACGTTATAGGATAACCACCGCATAAGTAGTCAAGATAACCGAAAAGTACGCGTAGAAATATAATTTAACGATGGTTTATATTTTATAATACGTACAGTCTACCAATGGTTTATATATTTCATTTTTAATTAAAAAAGTAAATGAAAATGTTTATGATTTCTAATGGAAATTGGAGTTTTCCCCTCTCCCTAATTAATGTCTGTGTTCGTCCCCTTGTCCACACTACTTTCTATTTTTATTAGTTGAATTTTTTAAATCGTTTTTAATTTGGTTTTCTCGACACTGTTCATAGCACGACTTTTGGATCTTCTCCTATTTGTCTTACCTAGGAAAATCGTCTTCAAAATGCCGTTCGACCGCCAGACACGAGGACATGACTTACCCGCTCGAGTCATTTACTCACAACGTAATCAATAATTATTTATAGTGGGTTTTCGGTAGAGTTTGGTAGACTTTTTTCACACCGCGTCTGATACCGAAATACATACCCGTGTTTGTTTATAAGAACAAAGAGCGACTGGGACGATTAATTCGGGATCCGAAAATATCCGAAAAGTCTCCATATGTATTAACGTATTATAATTTAGTAAAAAGAATGTTTTGACGGAACGAATTGTTGAAATACTATCTAAACCACAGTGTGGTTTAGATAGTACTCGTATTTAGATGGACACTAGAGTGTCTATATTTAAACAACTGAGTAAAATCGAATAAGGTAAATGTGGAACTCTGTAAATATTACAATTAAAAGATACAAAGCGTAAAAATCTATTTTGTATAGACACTTTTATACTGAATATTGAATATATTGAATTAAATATAACTGATGGGATGACCATTTATTACATACAAATTCTCTGGCGTTATTAAATTCATAATAAAATCGCAGTTTAAGGGCAAAACTGTATTGCACTGTTATAGTCTTAACATTAATTATTATTTTAGGCCCTTATGCAGCCATTTTGAATTTGTTTTGTTAAAAAACATTAGAGTGTGGGTATTATAGTCCAAGAACCTGGTAAACTTACTTCATGCTATATGATTAACACGCCGTCGTGTCGTGCCGATTCAATGACAATGAGATCAAGATTAGTTATACATTTTGAATATGCTAAAGAGCTTTTTTTAAAGTACTATACTGTTATTGCGTCATGGTTAGGTTAAAACATCAATAATATAGCACTTCATTGAAATATTAATACATATATTTCATTTCAATATAAAAATCGTTTAAACCTAATGACGTACCTACATAAAACGCGTGGTTTTTGACAATAGTATCTTAAATACATATAATCTTGACCGTTTGAATGTAAATTATTATATCTCAGGAGTACTATTTCTATTGTGATATTATTTTTTTCAATTATTCGATTGGTTATGAGTACTCTGTGATTTTCTGTTCTTGATATCTTTTCATTCACGGGTCCTTAAGAATTTACGATACAGTAATAATCTTACTGGTGTTCTTCTTTCGATTCTACCTCCTTGGTAATTTTCTGTAATAATTAACTTCAACAAATTATGATGCGATGTATTTATTTCCTACGAGAATATAAA